GGTGGTTGGGAAGCCATCAGCTCCTCCCGTCTGGGTGAGTCAAAGCAAACAGCCTTTTCTACAGACTCCTTTTAATTTGGACATGGTGAAGTGTGAACGACGTTTCCTTCTAACGTTTATCCTGCACTGCCTGCAGATTCTGATAATACCCTGCTATACCTCATGTTCCCTTTTGTACCTTTTTCACTCCAATTTATATTTTGCAATCTTTGCATGTTGTTTTACTAACCTCTAACTTATTTATTCTGCCCTTTGCACAATTCCATCATGCACGTTTACTATACTGAATTCATACATTTTCCTGTCAATGGGAGTGTAGGTTGTTGCAAGTGGATTTTTTTTTCTGGGAATCTTGTGGAAATACTTTTCTAAAACATTGGTTGAGAATAATAGACTGGAGAAATAACATCTTGGTTCAATCTAGATTTTCACTTTAAGAATGAATCAGACCAATGTGATACTGCCAGTGAACAAATGATAAATATGAATGCACCATTTATTCACAGCAATAGTCCCTAAACACTAAGAAATAGAAAACATGAACACTGTCTGGTAAGGATCTGCCATGTAAATATGAAAATTAGAGATGTATGTGGCTGGACAGCCCTTGTGATTTCATTACTGCTGCCTCTTCATTCACTGTGTTCAGGTACACCTGCTCCCATTCATTTTTCCATCTTTGTACCCAGTGCAAATATTTATATTACAACATTATGGTTTCATGATAATGAGCTCCAACACTAAGCTGGCCAATTCCTAAACTGGGGACATTCCACAAAACCTCTTTGCAAAAACAACCAGAATCAGCGAAGATTATGTGACTACTTCCTTGAATTTGGCAGTTTTCAGGTAGTCGCTCTATCTATATGTGCAATGAATCATAGCAGACATGTCATTGCTATGTAGAGTATAGGCAGTATATTTCAAATATAGACAAAAACAGCAGTTACGAAGTAAAGAGAATATCATATGTGTTAAATATTAAGCACATATAATGATTTGACTCATGAAGAGAAAGATGTCTGATAATATCTTTTAAAAATCATTTTGGTATTAAAGTCAAAAGTTGAGGGAAAGCAAGCCATTTATTTATTTTTATAAGAGTTTATCGAGTGTCTACTCAGGTTTACTGGAACTGTGCTAAGATCTGAAGACATAAAAATAAATAAGATAACAGTCTTGCCTTGAGTGATCATTCTCTTTACTTGACAGAGGTTAAAAACATGATTCAGTTATTATCAAAATAATACAATTAGATATTACAGTGCATTAACAAGGCAAACTGGTGCTTAAAAAAAAAAAAACAGGGAAGAGAAGATGGGCTTGAGTATTCCAGGAATAAAAGACAATACAGAAAAAGAAATACAAAAAAAAAGAGAAATGAGAAAATGAAAAGGTGGAAATAGAAAGAGAATTACTGTGGCATTAAGTGCAGAAGAGGGACCTTCTACAAAGGAGGCTTTTGAGGGGCAAAGTCAACTCTGAATCAACAGTATTGCCAAGGGTGGAAACTAGGAAGCTTTACAACTTAAAGTTGGTCGTATTGGATGCATTTGGGTGTAGGGATCTACAAAAGTTTCATGAGCTTGAGAAAAACATAATTTTTCCAAAGATTGGTAGACAAAGTAGAAGGAGAAAGGCCGTGTTCAGGAGGAAAAGAACAACGCATTGTGACCACCCCTTGTGAGACAGATTGTCTGATTCTCAAAGCCTAGCTCCGCCATTGACCAGCTGTGTAACTTTGGGTGGAATACTAAACTTCTCTAGGCCTCACCAAAATTTTAGTAGTTCTTCACAGTATGTTATTAGAATCATTGATAGGATCAATCTGAATTGCTCTGCAGAGTACCTGCCATATTTAAGGGTTCAATCAATGTTAAACACCATTGCTGTCAGTGTTATAAAGATGATGGAAGACCGAGGTCATGATGACATTGGCAATGGAGAAGTAGGTAGAAAAAAGAGGCCTGTCAGAGGAAAAGAGCAGCAATGTTTGATGAATAACTCCACACGGAGTATTTGCACCTATTACAGTCCCAGATATGTTGATCTGTATGAAAGGAATTGAACCGCCACACACTCCCATTGGATAAATCATTGCAATAATAGTTATTTTATGCTTCAAATAAAGGGGCACTGAAAAATGTGCTCCAAATAGAAAAGATACAGTAGAAAAGAGCTAGACTTTCAGTGTGGACAATGGTGCTCAGAGTAACTCAATGCCCAACGGCTCATGAGCTTTGTAAACTTAAATCTACAGTTGATCAGTTTCCTCAACCATAAGATAGGAACGGCAGGCCCTCCACAGGTATTTAGAGAGCAAAGTGAACTAGTGAATGTAAAAATAGTGTTTTGTATCTGCTAGGAAGTTGATAAATGTAAGGATAATCTTAATACCGAGAGCCACCAAAATAGCCAGCTCAGAATCAGGGCTATGATAACAGCAATCCCGTCATCTGTCACCAGTAACATCTTTATTACTTGCTGTCCTCTCTTTTACATATGTGATTGTTTCAAAGAACTTACGCATTTTTTATTTTCTCTTATTCTCTAAGCACAAAAGCACATTCTCCAATATAGAGAGTTTGTTCATGGGAGTACCTGGGAGGAAGCCAAAAACCAAAAATAAATCATAATTTCACCACCTGGACATGTCTAATGTTAAAATGCTGAAATATTTCTTCCAGGTCTTTTTTCTTTCTATAGTTAACAAGCTAAATCCCTGGAAAGACAGACACAGGTATTTTTGCTAACTGGTATTATGTTAAAGGTACAGATTAGGTTTATGCTTTATCTTAGTCAATGCTGTAATACATGTATATAAGTATAAGATTATTTTGAATGCCTGCATGTTAGTAATCTATAGCACAGAACCTGTATGCGTCACATCATTTCTCCATGAAAGCTGTGCAGTATAAAAGAAATTTACATTTTCCAGAGAAAAGTTTGTCGTTTTCTGCCTGTTGCTTATTTCCATTCTCCACCTAAATGATGTGCTCAAGGTATCAACAGCATTTAAGCAGGCAAGAGTCAGGGGAGAAAACATTTACCAGCAAGGTCAGACAAATTCTAACGAGTTCTTTCATCTAGAGTCTAAGTCCCAAAATCTACTCCCAGGCGTTTGAAGTATCCAGTGGGTCTGAAGCCATTTAAAGAAACCAAGCAAATTAAATGGTCTGAAGCAACCCAAAATATAAACCCCGAACCTTTCCTGGCTTTGGATAATCATCGCAGTCATGCACTTTCCACTAAATTTGCCTTTGTGGAGGTCAAGTTAACCAAACCGGTCTCCCCACTCCTTGCTCTTTTTGATCTGAGTGCCTTCTCGGGCTGGAGCAAAGTTTTCCCAAATAAAACATTTGGTAAGCATCAATTAGACTCCCGAGAATCACTCTAAAGAGTTTGTTGAGTTTAATAAGTTGGAGTAGCAGAATAGTGCAATTAGGTTTCTTTTTCTGTCATTTCCCTCAACTTTTTAAAAAATGTTGATTATTTAATGAAATAATCTTTTGTGTGTCTAAACTGTCCACCTATTGGTGAAAAAAAGAAACATATCATGATTTCTGATCTCATTTTGGAGAAGAAAGCCATTGAAGACTGCTCCATAGTGTCATTAACCACTTGAGGACAGACTCACTCTAGAACCCTCAACCTTTTGGTAACAATATGAACGTTTTCATTTATCAAAAATAAATATTATGGCTTGGCGCCTGTGGCTCAAGCGGCTAAGGCGCCAGCCACATACACCTAAGGTGGCGGGTTCGAATCCCCAGCCCAGGCCCACCAAACAACAATGACGGCTGCAACCAAAAAATGACCAGGTGTGGCGGGCGCCTGTAGTCCCAGCTACTTGGGAGGCTGAGGCAGGAGACTCACTTGAGCCCAGGAGTTGGAGGTTGCTGTGAGCGTGATGCCATGGCACTCTACCCAGGGGGATAGCTTGAGGCTCCATCTCAAAAAAAATAAATAAATAAATAAAATAAAAATAAATATTATTTGAGCACACACTAGGCCTTAAACAGTTAACACTGCCTCAACTGCACCTCAGACCATGAGTTAGATTCTCATAAGGAGCTAAGAAGTGTACAACCTAGACCCCTCCCACTCATAGTTTATAGGGGGTTCCTGCTCCTCTGAGAGTGTAATGCTGCTGCGGCTCTGACAGCAGGTGGAACTCAGGCAGTGATGCCAGTGATGGGAGCAGCTGTAACTGCAGAAGCAGCTTCCCCACCAGCTGCTGCTGACCTCTTGCTGTACAGCCCAGGTCCTAAATGCAGGTGTTAAAGACAGGTAGATTCTCTTTCTTCATTTTGTTAACAAATCAATAAACTTCTTAATCTCTCAATAGCACTTTCAGTAAGATCTTTTATTGTTTTGATGGTCCACTATGCTCTGTTTGAATAGTGTTATGTAAGAATTAAAATTTAAGACTTGTGCATCTGTTCACAAAATGAATCAGCCTAAATAACTCTAACAATAATTTATCATGTGAATGGAACATTCAGGGTGATGTATCTGATATATCTTGAAATATATTTCATACAGAGTACCCCCATGTAACTGGCATATTTTAATAAGATACATCCAGTAAATGTTACGGATGAGCATGTGTTAACAATGGAATCAAGGTTCTTAACAGCAGCAACATGTATTAACCAACCAGGCTATTTTTTCCCTATTTTTTCATTCAGAAATTTATATACTTTGATTTCTTTTTCTCTTCTGCTTTTATGTATCGAATGAGTCTTCAAACATTTTTGTTGCTTTTCCAGGAATTTGCTGCACTGACAAAAGAATTAAATGCCTGCAGGGAACAACTTCTGGAGAAGGAAGAAGAAATATCTGAACTTAAAGCTGAAAGAAACAACACACGAGTAAGTACAAGGCGGCCTGTCTGGGAAGGAATTCTGCATGTCATCCAGCGCTTCATATCTACTCCACATATAAAGAGAAAATATGAGCATTTTAAAGCTTTAGGAACACTTTCAGCAGCTAGGAACTCACAATCAGTCACTTAAAGTCAAGGAGGATATACTGCTAAACTCAAAACAAAAAGACAGAAAACCTAAATTATAGCCTGCTAAATCACTATGTGGGTTTCCAGAATGTTCTTAGTCCTTCTGGCCTTTACTTTGTGTCACTTTAAAAAAGAAGGCTGCATTTCAATAAAGGGTTTCAAACTTTCAAATGGTTAGAGTGGGGATGAGGGCGAAGTCTCAGAGGCTGAAAACTACCAAGGGAAGGAGGAGGGGCGTAGAAAGAGTTTAAATTACGGAGCGCTATGAGGGAGTGGCCTGGGTTGGTCCTCACCTCATCCCAGCAAAAGATTGATTTAAAAAGGGAAAAAAAGTGTTGAAAATAGAAAAGCACTGGAACAGATCTCTGCCAACTAAAAGAGGCATTCCTTTGTATTTGAAAAAAGTTCCAAGGGGCCTTCTAGGTCTGATACCCGAATTCTGTGAAGTTAATGAAGTTCACGACATTCTCTTCTTGGAAACCCATGTAGTTGATCAACCACATGAAGTGTCATGTAACATTCAATTTCAGAATTTGATCAAAGATGCTGTGTTTTCTAATTCAGAAGAAAAATGACTAAATGTCATGAAATTTGTAGATTGCCATATTACCCACAAATAAGTATAGCTTCTCTGCTAAAAGACAGTGGAGAAGAACCACTCCTGTGTGGATATAAGTTCAATGTAATTAGTAAGGAGGTGAGAAATAGTCTAAGTATTACAGCCTTAACAGATTAATGCTGGAAAAAATAATATATGGTTAATGGGCTATTCACTTTATGCTGGGTCTTAGACAATAATACAGAAATAACAGCTCCACGCACCGTGAGCTCATGACTCTAATGAGAGCAGAATTACATGCATAATGGTTATACGATCAACCTCAGAGTACGTCCTTGTTCATCAGGGTCTTATTTAAGGGTAAAGAGAATTCACATATATGCATACAATGAATTGGTTTTCACCGAGGCTTGGCTGAACCATTCACATGGATTGCCTCAAAGAGGGCATAACAAGGGCAGTTTAGATCATATCATCTGATGTCAGAAGAATTTTTTCTGTTTTTCTCTCCCTCTATATGTTTTTCCCACCATGATTTGGAACTGTGTTTCTGATTTTGAACTGTGTTTCTGCACAAGTTTAAAGTTTATTTCTGCTGTAAGATTGATTCTTCCCTATTTCACTCTTTTATACTTTGACGCTCTAGACTACATTCCCCGATGTAACGCCACATGGCCAAATGTAAAAGCAAGAGCAGGAAGCTGAGAAGGGAGCAAAATCAAAACCTTCGATAGATTTCCAACTAATCCTCACATTTAAAATGCACCAGACACTCTTTTACTCACCATGGATCTGTTTCTTCTGTATAAAGCCTTTTCCTACAGCCCTTTACTTCCTTCTACACCCCATATGAAGGACATATTATAATTATATCCACTTTTCAGACAAAGCATGGAAGCTCAGAACAGGTCAGATACTTTCCCTGAAGTTAGACAGTAAATAACAAGGGGGGTGTTTGAAACATTAAGCTGAGGTATTCTACATCTAGAAGCTGTGTCCAAAGTCACGAGGTCATCAGCATGATTACTCAAGCTACATCCGTGAAGGAACTCGAAGATTTACTACAGTTTAGAGAAAACGTTGCCTACGACTCAGACTTCTGCAGTATGAAGTCTGTTATTCTTTCTTAATTGTGACTTATTTTGGAGAACCAGGAGATTTGGTGACAGTGTCCACACCAGATGTATCAGGGCTGATGCACCTGTCAAAGGCGCTGGCATTACAGAGGATGCAAAGAAAACTAACACGAAATGGGCAGCGCCTGTGGCTCAAAGGCATAGGGCGCTGGCCCCATATGCCAGAGGTGGTGGGTTCAAACCCAGCCCTGGGCAAAAACTGCAAAAAAAGAAAAAGTAACATGAAATGCCTAGTTAGGATTTCAAAGTGAGCGTGATATAAGATTCCTTTATGTACCTGAAGTTGAAGCCATCAACTTTACACATGAATAATAGTTACTTTTAGAAAATGTAATAAGGCTGGACAATATTTTTCTACCCTTCTTAAAGAAGTGATGTGGAGCTTTTTTGGTTGTTGTTGATTAAACAAGAAAAACCGATTTATGAAACTCCCCTGTGAAAAGTATTGATTATATAATAACTTCGTACGTTACATCATCATCTCTTTTCCCCAAATGCCTCATTAAGTATTGCTAAACAAAACAATTCTCACAAGTTTATATAGCTGTTTCTCTCTCTTCCCACATGGTGTGTTTCTCTTCTTGTTAGAAACACCCACTTATTGGTTGTGGAGAGGAAACAAGCAGCTAGTATTTCCTTCTCACGGGCTTAAGAAAATTTGATAATAGATTGTGAGCAAATTTAAAGCAGAATTCAGCCTTCCGATTTCCGATGTTCTGATAAACTCCTGGCTCTCTCTGTACAGCACATAATTAGCCTATGTTCACGACTAGAGAGATAAGTAACACAAAAAGACAGTTATACAGAGAGAAATCATGACTCATGATTGGACAGGGTCATTTGTGTTAATTTTGAGTAACATCAAACACAATGGATCGGAAAGCCTTCTGCATAATGATATTTGAATGAATTATCCCTCCTCCCAAAACAGATAATAGAAATTTTAGTGGGATTTAAATGAAGTTGATCTAATACATAGAGTAATAACAATGATAATACACATATTTAGTCAACATTATTTAAGTGCTAAATGATTTTCTAAATGTTTTACGTGTTTAATTCACTTTATCCTCCCAGTAATCTCATTATCCCCACTCAGTGGGAAACCCAAGGAAGTAAGTAGCTTGACACAGGCCACATGGCTCATAAGTGACACCAGGAGTCTGTCCTCAGCTTACCCACAGGTTATGTATTTAAGAAATTGTATTTCTGTGTTACCTACAAAACACGTGTGATACAAAGGGCTTATATTTAAGAAAGAGTATGTCCAAACTGTTATAACTAAGTCTTAATGCATTTTATACACTTATCTATTATTTGGAAAGTAGGGTGCTAAGTACATATTCTGATGTTAGGGCTGAGCTGACACTTACAGCCACGTATCACTTTGTCACTACAGAAATAGCTGATCCCCAGCTCCCAAATAGGGGCCAATAAAAGAAACTAAAGGCATTACCAAAGTTGCTCTGAAATCCAGCTGCCTCAAGTAATTACATTGAGGATATCCAAATAGAATCATCCTAATATTATTTATGATTATACAAAAAAATTTCAAAAATTTTAATGGATATTGTTTAGAAACATATGAACAAGCTTTTTGTTGAATATTTTATACTGATAAAAATGTGGAAACAAAATATCTTATTCCTAAAACTCCCCTAGCTATACTTTGTCAACTTATATTTATAGAAAATAACTTATTTCCGATGCTATTTCAACTCCAATTGATCAGTAACACTTACGTTTTCGAAAAATTATCTGAATTAATGAAATGCTAAAAAATGGTGATTTTAATGTAATTACCGATTGTTGATAAGAGAGAATGTTTTGTCGTTTGAACTCTTTCAGCTATTTTTACAGCAGAGGATCTCAGAGAATGGATTATATTGTTGATGATGTCTTAAAATATAACTATGGTATGACTTTGAAAAAGAAGTTACGGCTGTGAGAACCAGTCTTAATTTAAGTTATAAATAATGATGCTATAATTGAATCTCATGGGTCGTAAAATTAAGAAGAAAGACTTAATTGCATTTGAAACATTCCTTACCGTGCCATGATCTTGCTTTAGTTCTGAATCAAAGGCATTTTCTTAATAGATGTTGAGATATAATCAGACAGCTGCCATTACTGCCAAAAATTTCCTACTTTTGACAAATCTCAGCCTACACAAGTTAATAATATCCTTCAAATATATTTTCTCATTGAGTAAAAAATATTAAGACAATCCAATTCAGAAAAAAATAGTAGCACCTGAAAATAGATGAAGATACTTCTTGTATGTACATGAGTTTGTTTATTTATGAAAGGGCTATGATAGGATGCAATAATGCAATAAATACAAGTGTGAATAAGATAAGACATGGGCTCTCCAAATAGTTATTTCAATGTCATGATCAAACATGTACCGTGTAGCACAGAGGATTTTAAACTATATTGGAAAGCAAAGGCTGTCGAGTGAAGTATGAAAGCAACCAGTTTATAGGTTTCCGTTTTCAGATGTTGGTGTTGTGCTATATACCCATATTACAACAAGCCAATTAGTCGATAGGGAAGAATGCATTTCTACTTGAATGCCATTTGTAATCGAAAATAATTGCACACAGGGGTATGTTGAGTCCAGATATAATAATAGGAAAGTATATAGTTTTAGAGACTCTTGTGGTATCATAATAAAGGATTATGATTATGGTATCATAATAAAGGATGTAGATTACCTAAGACATTTTGTTCTGCAAGTCAGAAGTTAGTCCCAAAAATTCCCAATGATGTATGATATGCTTGCGAAAGTATTGTATGTTATGCATATGTGTTTCTATATGCAGACTGCAGTCTTTGAAATTAAAGTTTAACATAGGATTGATGGTCTTTCACATAGTCCCTGTCATCCTTTGAGTATAGCAAAGAGAGTGCCGTATGCTCCTTCCACAATAATTACTGAATATTAGGTTGGAGTGGTAGTTTATGAGGCTGGGTGCAGTGGCTCATGCCTATAATCCTAACACTCTGGGAGGCCAAGGCGAGTGGATCGCCTGAGCTCAGGAGTTCCAGTCCATCCTGAGCAAAGCAATACCTGTCTCTACTAAAAATAGAAATACTAGCCAGGCATAGTGGCTGGTGACTGTAGTCACACCTACTAGGGAGGCTGAGACCAGAGGATTT